TATCGGCAGCCGGCCCGTCCTGGTGCTGAGCGGGCTGGACACCATCAGGCAAGCCCTGGTGAAGCAAGGAGAAGACTTCATGGGTCGTCCTGACCTCTACAGCTTCCGGTATGTTGCAGATGGGCAGAGCCTGGCCTTCAGCCCTGACTCAGGGGAGGTGTGGAAAGCCCGCAGGAAGCTGGCCCAGAACGCCCTGAAGAGCTTCTCCATCGCCCCCAGCCCCACCTCCTCTTCCACCTGCCTCCTGGAGGAGCACGTCTCCAAGGAAGCTGCCTACCTGGTCACCAAGTTCCTGGAGGTGATGGACAAGGAGAAGAGCTTTGACCCTTACAGATACGTGGTGGTCTCTGTGGCCAATGTCATCTGTGCCATGTGCTTTGGCAAACGTTACGACCACAGCGACCAGGAGCTGCTCAATATAGTGAATGAAACTCACAAGTTCAATGATGTGGCAGCTTCTGGCAACCCTGCTGACTTCATCCCCCTGCTCCAGTACCTTCCCAGCCGGGCCATGGATTTATTTAAAGATTTCAACCAGCACTTCCTCCGTTTCCTGCAGAAGATTGTCAAAGAGCACCATGAGACCTTTGACAAGGTAAGAACTTGCAGGACCCTCACCCTACAAAAGCATTAGGAACAATGGGGGCTGGAAGATGATGTCCTCCAGAGCTCCTATGACCTTGGGCTCCTCCAGCTTCAGGCTGTTGTTCAGTCACACCCTTTCCTCTGCTGCTTCTGCTGCCATGACTTGTCTTCTCTTCCTCTCAGAACAACATCCGAGACATCACTGACTCCCTCATTGAGCAGTGCCTGGAGAAGAAAGTGGAAGCAAAAACTGCCACACAGATCCCTAAGGAGAAGATTGTCAACCTTGTCAATGACCTCTTTGGAGCAGGTATCTTTTCTCACTTGTCCCTCAGCTGCTGCAGATATTCTCAGGCTCCTTGTGTTCTAGCTCTGACTTTGCCCAACACCAGGCAGCCACTTTGGGTCTAAGCATTCATTCACTGGTCTTCCTGGGCTTTACAGGGACTCCTTTAAAGACCAGCATGGGACCAGCTCTGGGGAAGAGGCTTCAGGGAAAAGCAAAGGGCTCAGCTGAGCTTCCTTGTTGAGGGAGATGTCTACTGACTGATCCACCTTGGAGTTACTCGGTGGACACTCCCCTGGTTCCTGGGAAGCTGTGCAAGCCTGACACAGCTCAAGGGGGGAATCAGGAGGATGTAGAGCAGCAGTACATTTTAGCAAAGTGCCCAGCATGTCCTCTGCCTTCTTAGCCACCTGATACTGCTCCATGCAGTGGTTGGGCAGCAGGTACAGACCTCATCTACACGCTTTCCTCTTTGACCAGGCTTTGACACCGTGACAACTGGCCTGTCCTGGAGCCTCTTGTATCTCGTGACCTACCCCAACATCCAGAAGAGGATCCAGGAAGAAATAGGTGAGTCCATCAACCTGCCTCCTTCATGGCCAAAGCCCCTCCATTTAGGGCTGAACCCCAATCCCTGACCTCCTGCAGACCAGACCATTGGCTGGGAGAGAAGACCGAGGCTGTCGGACCGGGGCACCCTGCCCTACCTGGAAGCCTTCATCCTGGAGATGTTCAGACACTCCTCCTTCCTGCCCTTCACCATCCCACACAGGCAAGTTCTGAGGTTGCAGAGGAGCTGGAGGGACGAGGTGGACTTGGGACACCTTGTGACAGTGGGGAGGGGCAGGGAGGTTGTTCATGGTTCGTGGGGCGATGGCTTCGCCGTGGACACGAGGAGCTCCCAGCTCTTGTGCAGGGCAATGTGGGAGCTCCTGAAGAGACTTCCTTGCCTTCTCCTGACTTCACTGGAAGATTCTCCACCCAACTTAGGTAGGGTTTGCCCAATCCAGCTCATGGACAAGGCAACTAACCCTCAGCAAACCATCTCTGCAGGCCTCATCCCTACTTCAGCAGCATCAGGAGCAAACTAGTAGTCCCCTGAGGATGCAGAAGAGCCTCTTCACTTCCCAAACTCTGACAGTTGTTTCTCTCTCCAGCACCACCAGGGACACAGTGCTCAATGGCTACTACATCCCAAAGGACCTCTGTGTCTTTGTCAACCAGTGGCAGGTGAATCACGATGAGTAAGTACCTTCAGAGGCAGAAAACCACCTGCAGCAGCACACAGGTCCCTTCTTGGAGGTACCATCTCACCATCTGATGTTTCCCCTTCCAGGAAACTTTGGAAGGACCCACAGACCTTCAACCCAGAGCGTTTCCTCAACGCTGAAGGCACCGAAGTGAACAAAGTGGCTGGGGAGAAGGTGCTGGTTTTTGGCCTGGGGAAAAGGAGGTGCATTGGGGAACCCATTGCCAGGTGGCAGGTCTTCCTTTTCCTGTCCACCTTGCTCCAGCAGCTGGAGTTCAGTGTCTGTGATGGCAAGAAGGTGGACATGACACCGCTCTTTGGACTGACCTTGAAGCACAGGAGGTGTGAGCACTTCCAGGTCAAGCAGCGTTTCCCCGTGCAGAGCATGAGCTGACCTTATCCATCACCAGGGGGGAAAGACCTGGGTAAAGACCTTGTAGGTCTGGTAGAACCTTCTGGGGTGACATAATAAAGAGAAGCCCCTGAAGTTCCTGTCTGTTCTCTTGTTCTCTTTGTACCGTTCCTCACCCTGTTCACTCTCCAGTGTTTCTGGTGTTGGATCTTCCATCACCTCAACCCTTAGGACCACAAAGCACATTTATGGGGTGAACAAACTGCCTTTTGCTGGAGGGAAATGGAGTGGACCTAAAACCAGGCTGGCTGTACAGCCAGTGTTCTTTTAGAATCACTCTTGGAGAGCTGGAAAACAGCCATTCCCATGCCAGGTCCCCATGGTCTCCATCCAGGTTTGAGATCTTGGCTGGCCTGATGCCCTGAGCCTGGATGGAGATGAGAGTGATGTTACTGAGGCCCAGCCAGAGTCACCATTTCTGGAATAAGAAGGGGGCAAATGCAAAGGTGGAAAGCCCTTCTGGGCAAGTGTGTTGGAGGATTCCAGACACCTCAAGTCTTGCTCTCCAAAGTCACTGCTGACCCTGGAGAACACAAGGAAGCACAGCAGGAAGGACACCTTTACCCCCTGCTCTTGAGAAAGTCCAGCTTCTGGTATTCTGGGCTGCAGCAGGAGTGTTTTCACAGCAGGGTAGAGAAGAAGAGGTGTTCCTCCAACTCCAACCCAAGAGTTTACCTTGGCTGCCAGTCAAACCATGCCAGCAGAACCAGATGTCTCCTTCAACTTGCACGCAAAGGCATCTCAGCCAATCCTGTACCTGGCAAGGAATGAAAGAGGAACATGTAGAACCATCCAGTGCAACAAACACTGCTCTGGAATCTGCTCCCATGGGTGCTCAGCCCCAGTCCCAGACCCTGACCAATGGGAGCTCCTTTCAGGTCCAGATACCAATCACTCCTCATGTGTTGCACAAAAGCTTCCAAGAAAAGACAGGAACCAAAGAGTCTGTTGGGGGAGAAAACAGAGGAGCCAATTGCCCAAGACTGCAGGGAGATTCCAGCAAGGGCAGGGAGGTGTTCAGACCAGCTGAACAAGCCTGAATGAAAAGGAGTAACCTTTTGTCTCTGCATGTCCAGGGCCTGCCTGGTCAGCTGCTTGGGATGAGACACTGAGATGTCACAGCCTCAGACCCACCTGGATTCATTGAAGCAGCCTGGGCAGCCTCATGGCTTTGTCTTCAGCCCTCAATGTCAGAATCCCAACACTGCAGGAAAAAGAAGGGTGAGGACAGGGAAGTCCAAACCATGGTTTGAGCTGCAGCCTATCAAAGGCCTTGGAGGAACTGTGGAAGGATGGTTTAGGACAATCCATCAGGTCTACCAGTCAAATAACATCTCCCCTAGCTATGACAAGGGCCAGAGATCACAGAATCACAGAATCCCAGGCTGGTTTGGGTTCAAAGAGACCTCAAAGATCATCCAGTCCCAACCTCCTGCATGGGCAGGGACACCTCCCACCAGCCCAGGTTGCTCCAAGCCCCATCCAACCTGCCCTTCAACACTGCCAGGGATGGGGCAGCCACAGCTTCCCTGGGCAACCTGGGCCAGGCTCTCACCACCCTCACACTCCACAATTCCCTCCTCATGTCTCACCTCAATCTCCCTCTTCCAGCTTTCATCCCTTCCCCCTTGTCCTCTCCCTCCCTGCCCTTGTCCCAAGTCCCTCCCCAGCTTTCCTGGAGCCCCTTCAGGCACTGGAAGGTGCTCTCAGGTCTCCCTGGAGCCTTCTCTTCTCCAGGCTGAACACCCCAACTCTCCCAGCCTGGCTCCAGAGCAGAGCTGCTCCAGCCCTGGGATCATCTCTGTGGCTCCTCTGGACTCTCTTCAAGAGCTTCATGTCCTTTCTGTGTTGGGGGCTCTAGATCTGGACACAGTCCCCCAGCTGGGGTCTCACAATGTCAAGGCAACAGAGCCATGAACCACCTTCCTACAAAGGCCACCCCAAAGCCAGCAGTCATTTACTGTGCAGGGAAGGTGGGACCATCCTAGACATGGGTCTGGGTCTCTCAGTGATTCAGAAGATCACCAAGACCACCAGTGACATGGCAGCAGGGTGACATACCATCCTGTGGGGTGGACAAGCTCTCCTGGCCTGGGCCGAGTGATCCAGCTGAGGTGGGACCATAAGATGCTGCTGCTGGTGTAGGACCAGAGGTCCCATTTGCTGGAGCCATTGCGTGACTCTCCTGCTCTGGAGGCTGGCTGGGTTTGCTGATAAGGCCCTTCATACACCAGGGCTGATAAAAAAGAACAGTGGGGATTTTTTTTTTTTTTCCCCTTTGGAGATGAGGGTTTTATTGCCCTGGGGCAGATAAGCAGATTAATATTAACATTGCTGAGGTGAAACAGCCCCTTGCTGGTGGAAGGTCTCCTCAAGATGCCTTTAGCAAGGGCTGTTTGCCTGCCCTGGGGACACAGCTGCCTGGCTCCACCAGGCAGAGCCTGGAGCCCAAAGGCCTGGGAGGAAAAAGTCACCCCAGTGTCAGGGTGGAGAAGGGGAAGAGGCTGGAGGGGAGAGAAATGGGCAGGTGGGTGGGTTATCCCTCCCCACTCCCCTCCTCGTGGTGTCCTGAGGTGAAACACCCCACTTTGTAAAGCCCCATCTTCACTTGGCATCCCTCCCCTTGATGCAAGAGACCTTTCTGGGCAGCTTGAGCAGGCAGGAGCAGACCCTGAGACCTTGGGCTGATGTCCTGGCATGCACACATCTCCCAGTGACCACGGGTGACAGATGTCTCCAGTTCTTTTGCTGGAGACTTTGCAGACAAACTGTCCCTTCAATCCCAGCCCCCCTGATCCCAAACTCAGGCACCCTGCACAACAGGGTGGGAAGATCCCAGCTGAGCAGGCTCCCCTGCACCCCCCACCTGGGGACTCTCTGTGAGGACAAGTTGGGGACACCCTGATCCCTTGGGGGGTGCAGGATCTCAGTCCATCACCTCCTCTTCCCAGTTGCCTCCTGTTGCAAACCCATTGATCATTGCAACCAGAGCCCCAGTTGCTCACAGCAGGTCGGGGACTCACCTCCCTTATCTTCATCTTTCCCTTAACGACCTTCCTCAATTAAGGCCTCCAATTACTGCCCAGGTAGCTGGCAAGTTCAGTACTGGAACTGGGCAGTGATAAGCCCAGGGGAGCTTTTACCACGGCCAATTGCTTTTATTGTCCCTTTTCAAATGAGTCAGCACAACAGCCCTGGCTCCAGCTCCTCTTCCAGAGGAGGGAATGCTCCCACCTCCTTCATTCCTGATGGGAAAGATCCAGGCAGCTCCATGCCTTCTCCCTCCTGGTGCTGGCATTGGAGGGGGTGACATCTCCTTGCCAGGGAAGCCTGGACCCAGCCCCAAAAAGGGGTTGGAGGAACCACTTTTGGCTCATCCTCCTGGATGGAAGGAAGAGGGGAGTTGTTCCAACACTTCATGAAAAGCACATCCTGTATTTCTAACTTTCTAAGCAGCCTTTGGCTGCTTGTTTATTCTCTTCTTCTGTTATCAGGAATCATCTCCCCATAGGGATTAACTCTTGGGCACCTGCTGCTTGTCCCCAACACTGGTGACAGTCCCTTCATGTAAAAAAAATCACCTCTTGGTGCCCCAGAACTGAAAAGAAAGCTCTAAGTCACACTTTCAACTCTATTTCTGAGCCTTGCACGATTTCTTCCTGCCACTGCTTTTGGGGACACCCCCCTCTGAGCTGGTGGCAGCTGATCCTCTAAGTGTGGTGGGCTGTGCCCTGGTGTCCCACTTGCCCCAGGCCTTGGGAGCTCCTTGCCATGGAGAAAAAAAACCTTCCAACACCATCTTTCTCCTGGGACTCCTTTCTCCCTGCCTCGAAGCTCAGGAGCAGCTGCTTTGCAGCAGGATAACAGCTGGTTTCTGCCTTCTGGGTGAGGAAATCTGCACTCAGCCTCCAAGGTGGAGCAGCTGCTGGAGCTGGTGGGACATCTGCAGGGGGTTGGAGAAGATGCTGGTCCTCTGCACAACACAAGCTGGACTTGTGGTTGGGGAAGAGCCTGAGATGACTTTGCTGGCTGCTTTCAACCTAGTGAGTGGCTCTGCCCCTGTGTTGGGAGGGCTCCCACATCGGTATGAACTCTTCTTCCTCATCCCAGCCTTCAGCTCCATCTCTCCCCTGGCAAGGAGACCGTGTCCGAGCTGATCGATTGCTCCGTGTCCCTAAAGGTCCAAGGTACCTGTTAATCAGGGAACACGACAGCAGGGAAGGCTGGAGTTTGTCCCCAGGTTACGAAGGGAACAACGGGGATGCAGAGATAACCAGCAAGCCGGGGAAAAGCTCCAGGGAACCACCGCAAACCAGGCTGTCCCTGCGCCCCAGCGTGGGCGTGATCATCCCCGGGGGGAAGGGAAAGGGTGGGACAGGGGGGGCTGGGGCTGCTGACCCAGAGACACGGGCAGCAGGTCCCATCAACGCGGGCAGGTTCTCCTCAAACCCAGCAGCGGGATGCGGGGATGCGCAGCCGGGATGTCCCCGGAGCTGGAGCTGGGTCTCCTAATGGCAGGGTAAGGGTAGATCTGGGGGGTGGCTGAAGCAGGGATGGTGCTGAGCCCTCCCCGAGCTGGGGGGGGATCCCGGGGCAGGAGATGAAACCCCCTCCCCACCCCCCAGCAGCAGCGTCCCCACCCTGCTGGAATGGAAACCGTCCTGGGAACGAGGTCTCCCCAGGAAGGAGCCTTTGAAACAAGCGGGGCAG